CCACGACAAGCCCCACAGACGGCAAGACACAACCCAAAAGCGTAGAGCAAGTTTAACACACTTCACCTACTGAGGACATATTGTACAAATATAACACAAAATAAAATACAGGAATGCGGCTGACAAATGGGATTTACGACGACCTAGTATAATTTGGGTATGCTATAACACAACACAAAACAATAACCCACCCCTTTCATGACTTCAATCCATTCGCCGTGGCCCTTCTGGTAGTTCCGCACTGTGACGAGGTCATGCTTCACACGAACCACATCACCAACAGCAAATACGTTGACCTTGGTGAGTGCCCCAGGATGGAAGGTCCAGCGGTTGTTACAACCTTCATATTGAACACGAATGTCTCCCTTCTCGGTCACTCGATGAACGACTCCCATCTTCCCGACATACTAACCAACAGTGACACATTATACTGATGATTACTCACGATTAGACTTTGGATGTTCAGGGACTAAAACATTCATTTTAGGTAGTAAAACTAACTCTGAAATGGCAATTATAATATTATTAAAGCAATGCGCGGTACTTCAATACGACCCACACGGACGAAGAACTGTTGGCCGCCCATTAACAAGGCGGCAAGACTCACTCGCTTGACGTGGAAACAGGCGCTATGGCCTAAATCCATGAAAGAAAAAGAAGATTAAAGCAATGCTTACATATGATGAAAGGCAACAAAGATTTATAAGGCGGTATACAAAAGACTGCCAGTGCATAAGCCATGTCACCCAAGCTGATCCCAAAAAAATTTAAAATATCACATTTGCAAGATGTTTAGCATAATCTAGTCCTCGCTGTTTAACAAGAATTCTGTCGCAGACATTAAACATGAAGAGAACAATCATTCAGACCACGACGAAGAAATATTTGCACACAATATTTATAAAATTCAAGTGGTTCACGAACTTTAAAAATTATAGATAAAGAAGGATGGAAATCTGTAATATATTTTACGTGATGTTCGAGGATGATGCCAGATTTACCGAGATTAATCATGTCAGATAAAACTAATTTCAAGTTTACAATTGTTCACAGATATAACTGAAGCAATGTTTGAGCATGTTGACTTCGAAGAGGTGGGTGTGCGTACAACTCTAATTAAACTCATGGCAGCATATATTTAAATTCCCACTGAATATCAACACATTCTGTATCTTTTGACTGAGACTGATAATAACTTCTCCTGAACAAAGTTACCTCTGCCATACGTGGGTTCCAACCTCCATGACCCTCCTGCATTTGCTTCAGAGCCTCAACATCCATTGCCACCTTGACTTTGTCACCGACATTGAATGTCAGGTGGCGCGGTGATGAGCTGGACTGGCGGGCAGCCCCTCCCTGCATCTCTGAGCTGATACCTGTTAAGTTTACAACCGATATAAGGTACAATCTTCCCCTAAAATTTAAAATTGAGCAAATCACTGGGACGCCTCTGAATTTAGCTCTACATGAAAACAATCGATAATAACAAAATGTTAAAACTTACATAACATTCTCCTTTTAAGGGTACAATAATCTGCAAAACTTTATCTATTTATTTTGTGCTATCTAAATTAAATCCTTGAACATGATGCACATCTGTATTTTTTGGAAAAAAAAACTGTAAATGAAACCATTCATTTGATTGTGAATAAATACATGCATTACAAAACAGACACTGTAAACACGAGCATAGTTCAGATTTCTTAAGCTCACCAAGGATGGGTAGGTGGTCACGATAGTAGCAGCCTCCGACTGCATCCTGCACGTACTTTAGATCCACTTTTCCCTTATGTCCAAGCCTGTACACATTTGTGGAGCCTGAGGTCCATGTGACATTGGCGACTGAGCGGCCAGATTCATTGTCCCAGCCTCGGATATCGATCACGCGTCCCGTCTTGCCTGACGAGAATTAGTTTCAAACTTATTAACATTCTGATTTCATATTCGCAGACTGACCCAAGAAGGTTTAGTAATGACACGGAAATAATTTATCTGACTGTAGAATCTGAAGGTCCAACACCAGTAATATCAATGCTCACCGCGCATCTCAATCCTTCGCCAATTCCACCAATCTCATAACTCATCCCTCTGAGATCCAACTTAATGTTATCCTTCCATGCATTTATGCACATATTTCCCGAATCTGAGCCACACAACCAACCTTGAATTGTACTAAAAATTACATATTTTAGACGTGGTAGTATAACAGCCAGACACATTGCTATTAGAAGACGTACCATAATATAATGCGTACGTTTATTACTCTAATCTTTAGATTCCTTCTGTGATAACTGACTGTAAAGTTTCATAGTGTTTCTTGATAAATCTGCTTTTGGGAGCTGACTTTGTGTAGAAGTGAACTGTGATGCCAAAGTGTCAGATGAACATACTGCCTCCGCCATCAGGGATGAAATGACATGTATAGCGGTTGATGTGCGAACAGGTCAGTCCTCCTTCATCCATCTACCCATTTTCTGTTCCTGTACCCCTTACATGTACACAACACTTTTCACTTCAGCCCTGATGGAATCAGTAACGCTCGTCTGAAACTTGTGCAGCACGGCCCATTCGAGCACCGAACACCAGCATCAACGTTCCCTGTGCGATCGATCTTCTTAAATAGCTGACAAGTTGTCTCCCTCTACCTTAGACAGTACAGAGGAAAGAGAGATATCTACAGATGAATTAGTATTGCAGTAATTTGTAAAATA